CCCCTCTCTCTCCCTCTCTCTCTCTGCCACGCTACTGTTAATGTTACGCTATGTGCGTACTCGTAGCCTGTTTCTTTAACTGTATATCATGACCCAGCTTAACCTAACCCATTTTCTATCTGTTTAATAAGCAGGTGAAAGATATTTTTGCGGCACAATCGCAAAGATATTCTAAGAACAAATATCCAATAGTCGGAAGTTCACATTCATTTTATCAGTCTCATATATAAAAAAATACGAATAATTAAGCTCTGGTAATTATGAAATCAATATCATGGATGGTATAAACACAATATTTCTTCAACATTTTATTTTTTTATTCAATGCTGGACGAACGAATGGCCCTCTACTATAATTATTTTCATTTTTGACTGGCGCTCGAAAATGTATATACAAAAATTACACAATTACACAGTTAATTTATAAAAGTATCACTCTTGCATCGACATGGTATTCCACATTAATATACTTGGTCCATTAGTTGCTAAGAAACAGTTTGTTTGCGGGTGAACGCTTAATGATACTATAGGATGTTTCGTCGGTTTAAATCCTGAAAGTCTCGCAACTACTTTCTGAGAAACTAGATCCCATATCCATAGTTTCCCATCTGCGGATCCAGAAATAATGCGAGTGTCCTGAGTGTCGACGCTTGATTCTAAACACAAATTATTCGCCACGTGGCCAGTGAATTCTCCGAGCAATTCTCCTGAATCTTTATCCATCAATCTAACCACACCATCGGCACAACTAACAACTATGCATTGACCATCTCTTGTGAAGCTGGCGCATGTTACTGCATCTGTAATAATACATTTAATGACAACTTGATCGCATTTTTATCTTATTTTATTTTATTCGTCATATTATGTACTACCAACCTCCCATATAGTCTGTATACAATTCACCTACACGAATATCATATCTACGTATTTTCCCATCGAACGAAGCTGTTAGAACTTCATGATCTGATACTCTAACGCTAGACACAGAATCCTTAGCTTCGTTTAAACATTGCGCAGGTTCTAATGTTTTGGATCTGATATCCCACAACATAACCGAGTTATCTCTGGATCCGGAAATAACCATAGAAGATTCTTCGTTGAATCTGACATTAGAAAGGAAGTAGAAATAGATTCTTCGCTGATTCTGACATTACAGAAAAATGTATCTATATATAGAAAATATTATATCAAAACGTATATACAGGGGTACCAATGATTTTTTGATAATATACCTTACGGTATTAACAGGTCCTGCATGGCCCCTTAAACGCCGAACCGGAGTTCCAGTTGCTACATCCCAAAGAATAACTGATTTATCCAATCCGCAGGACACTATTTGACTACTATCGCAAGATGCACTACTATCCATTACTTCATCACCGTGTCCTCCATACGTTTTTAACATAACACCTCTATACGGATTCCATAATTTTAACTTTCTATCAGATCCACACGTTAAGCAATAAGCACCATCAACTGGAAAAAATATTAAATATAAATCAATATTATTTAACAATAAAAAAAAACAATCAACTTCATTAAATAAAAGTTACTTTAAAAAAAAAAAAATATATATATATATATATAACCTACGTACCACTAAATCGTACAGCTCTGACGGCTCCTTGTTTACAATCTATTTCTTTGACAAGTTTATAATCAATTTCCATTTTAAATTTGATTAAAGTACATCACTTAGGAATAATACTTTCTGTAAAAAAAGAAGTTAATCGATATATTTTAAATTTTATTTATTATATTTCCTACTTAATTATTCAACGTTTCCATATTTTTGCCATTTCAAAACAAACTTCATGTATATGTATAAAACTGAACACGGCGTAACGCTGATTTGACTTAGTATAGAATGTAGTGGGCTTTACAGGTTGTCCATACTTATAGCGTAATGTAGTATATGCTGTCAATTATATATGTTCGTGTATGCGTTAGGCTCTCTTTCACTAACATTGTAATTGATAAACATTCACGTGATAATATGAGAAATCGTTTATTTAAAATACAAGCTTTAAAGAATAAATAAATTTTGCAGATACTAACCGATGCTAGTGAAGTATTAGTAGTCCAAAAATATCCAATCACCGCCACGGAAAACTAGTTTAAACAAGGATAGTATGTGTTACGTGTAGGTTCAAATCACTTTTTATACCTGTCGTGTATTACTGATTACTGTTGAATATTCTCGTTTACCAATAAAAAGGAAGAACATGTAATTGTAAACGTTTCGCCAAGATATGTGATGAATCAGTTGCGAATGAACATAAATAAATAATATATTTATTGATGTTTACCGAAAATAAACTTCAATCCATTCTGTAATCGTATTTGAAGGTGACAGTATTTGTTCCTTGTCATAGTATGTATACTTTGACAACAATTGTTTAGTACTTAATATAATCTCTTATTAGATTTGAATAAATAGCAGATTCTACTCACTACGTTATAAGGTATTACGTTAATAGGTTATCATAGTTGTCACGATATAACGTGAACTACGTGTACGCTATTAAACTTTATATATGTGATAAAGATATTAATAAACGATGCATATAATTAATTGGTAAAATTGTTAACATAAACATATATAACAAAAATTATGTAAATAAAATGGTTGCAAACATAGCAGCTGATATGACCGGATCCATATACCATGAGAGACAAGTAATTATCAAGTGTTTCATGTTTCTAGTTCATAATCAAGCGACATATAAAAATATATTATGTATATACGTGTAAGCATTATTCTTGCATATACCATATGTCTATATATATGATTATTATTCTTACAGGTGAAAGAGCTTTGCGCATTACATGCATTAAATAATTTATTTCAAGAAAGAGGATTTAGTAAACAGGAATTAGACCAAATTTGTTATAGCTTGAGTCCAGATGTATGGATAAATCCCCATAAATCACTGTTAGGACTTGGTAATTATGACATTAATGTTATTATGGCGGCACTACAACGAAGAGGACGCGAAGCAGTTTGGTTTGATAAACGCAGGTTTGTTTAGTTCAATAAATATACTAATACTTTATTGTACACATAAAACTAAATATATATATATATACACACACACACACACACGCGCGCGCGCATGCCCTCACACACACATAAACGTATATACATTTGTGGGATTTTTTTCTCAGAGATCCAAAATGTCTGTGTTTAGATAATATTGAAGGTTTTATATTAAATGTACCAACAGAATATAAATTAGGATTCGTATTACTACCCTTGAAAAGACGACATTGGATTGCCCTGAAGAAAATTCATGGTGCCTTTTATAATCTTGACTCGAAACTTGATTCTCCTCAGCTTATTGGGAAAGTCAGTTAATTCTTTATTCCTTAATATTAATAAATACCGTACATCGATGTATTAATAATTATATTGGCTTTTACTTTTCAATAATGTCCTATTAGGAAAATGATTTACTTATATATCTAAAGGACCAGATAGACAGTAAGGAAAAGGAATTATTTCTTGTCGTATCAAGGGAGATAGATAATAATCAAGGATGGCTAATAAATACATATGCAAATAAAGAAGGGATTAATACAGATCATGATAGTATCACGTACATTGAAGATGGCTATATGGAAATGAATTTGAAGAAAGAAGTGTCTGCAGAAATGAATGAAAATGAAAAATCATTAGATAACAAAAATTCTAGGTAATTAAAGACCTTTTAATTTACTTAATCTATGTATTCAATGCTTCAGGCCAAAATAAATTAAAGGTTAAAGCGACAATAGTCCATTAATAAACAAAGTTCTATGTTCAAGGAATTGAAAAGAGAAGCGAAAGTTTACAAATTATAAATGTTACATACAAATTTTCTTGCACCAAAGAAAAGGATGTAACTATTTCATTCTATTTAAGTCAACACCATTTGATTGAGATATGTGATTGTGTTCTTAAATTCGTCATATTTTTATAAAAACGAAGAAAATTTTAGCATGATAAAAGATAAATAATGGCGCAATTATGAATGCATAATATGTTGCCAATTATTAATATTTATATAGATTTTTTATAAATCGTTATTACGATAAATTAATATATGTATATATATTGTTATTTATTTCACAAATATTTTATCTACAATAATTTGCAGTTGTGAAATCAGAATTTCGTGTATTAATTCGTTATTTATTTACAACACTTGTATTCTTTTAATATTGTCTCGTCAGTATTATTTAATGCGCATCCTTAAATACTATATTAAATTAATAGATTGTTCTATCAAAGTATGTACATTGCTTTGTTTAATTAATATTTGGTGATTGAAGCGAGGTTAATTTATCACTCCATAGATAAATAAACTACAGAATATAGAATTATAATATTGCTGCACTGTTAGACAAGTGTTATACTCTAGTATCTTTTTCTAAAAAATTTCGTTCTTTCTTAGTATTTGTTACTAGTCACGCTAGATTATTTAATAAAACAATGTGAATAACTATAAAAGACAATCTTTTATACTTTCAACATGAACATCGCAATACAAATATGCAAGAATGAAACATTAATCGGTATACAATCTATGTACCCTTTTATATTTGCTGTATATTTCAACAACGTATTTAAAGACTCAGTTGTACGATTATTATTTTGTAACGAGATACACCTCTTATTCACTATACTATATGTTCCATTTTTCCGAATATCTATATTTAATAAATTTGTTGTTTAAATAAAATAATGCATCTCTTATTATTATCTAATATCTGTATCTATATCTAATTACATAAGTAATTAAATAGCCTGTCTAAGATGAGATATTCATCTAACGTGCAATGCTAAATTTATATTTATACTAAATTTCAGTGTTTGTTACCAAAAATATGGATTTAAATATTTACAAAATTTATTTGTTACATTCTTAAATCAATATTCACCAATATTTAACATTAACGCAATAATACACGAATAACGGTAATATAATGAATGTTTAATTAACCATAATTAGCAATATAAATATAATATGTATTAAATAATACATTGAGTGATATACATTATACAGAAAATACCTAAGTTAACGACAAAGGTTTTGCATAATTACCATTTTATGGCAAGAGCTGTATCTGATTTCTTTATTTCATGATACTGTGTGTGGAAATACGACAAAGCTTTATCTGTACACTCTCCTCCTAACCAGTCTCTATATAAATTCTGCACTACTGTATTTTGTTCAGGATTACTCCGAGGAAGTTCTCTATATATAGATTCTAACTGTAACGCCAGTTCACGTGGTTGAATATTGCTTGAGGGTCTAATCTGCGCTCCCCCATTAAGACATCCTATCAATTAAATTAAGATTTACATTGAAAAGGTATTATTAACATTGTAACATTTTTCAAATAAAACTTACCGCAGGGACACGCCATAACTTCGACATAATCATATGAACACTTTCCGCGTTTCAATTTTTGTACAAGATTTTGTATATTTCGAAATCCATTAGCAATTGCAAATGTTAATAGTGTGCAGCCATCCTTCTGGAAGACTGCTTCTTGGAAATCAGGATTTCTCAGATTTTTAAATTCAACTGTTATATCTGTTTCATCGAACAGATGTTTTGCAGCATAATGAAGAATAAATTCTGCATAACCTCCTGATCCTGAACCGCTATGACCAAGTAAATTGGTTTTAAAATATTCCATTTGCGATTCAAACAGTTTTTCAACTTCCCTTTCGCGTATTTCATTTATTGACACATTATACTCGCTAAGCATTTGTTCTATTTCAACTAGGGAAAGAAACATAACTTAAACAAATGCAATACACGTGTTTCAAATTTCAAATGCTTACTTGGAGTTATGACACAATCTACGTCTCTAAATTTCCTTTCATAGTTATAAAAATCTTCTCTAGATGCTTCCAATTTCTTATCATAACAAGGCATAACAGTAACATGATAAACTTGTTCTGGTAAAAGGTCCATAGTTTCAGCTAAATGATATTTGACTAATGATCCCATAATTTGTTGAGGGGATTTTGTAACACTTATATATGGAAGTATAAAATTGCCGTGTGTCTTTTCAGCGTAACAAACCCAACCTGTATTTAAAAATATTTAAACATTGTTCGATCCTTATTACATTATATGAAAAAGATATTGCTGCACAAAATTATGATATATTAATTACCAGGACAAGAAGAAGACAACATGGGTAATTGATTTTTTGCACCCTCTTTAGCTGCTTTGTAACGTTCTATAAATTCTTTAGCAGACTCTAAAAGGGCAAAGTCGTCAGCCACAGTCATATCTAAAACTATGTCTGCTCCTAGCTGATAAAAGTATCCAGCAAGTTTATTTAACGCTTGTTCTGGATTAAGACTATAATGTTTTGCTATGGATAATACTGCTTGTACTGAGAGGCTGACAACAATAAACGTTGAACGTGCATCATCTTTGCTCTATAAAACATATATATGAAACAGATAAATTTGTTATATCTTATTAGTTTTTGACATTTAATATACAAAATAAATGCTGTCTTAATGTCAATCATTACCTGATGACGCCGAGAAACCTTCTCTTTAAACACTCGCATTAATTCTTCCTGACTTTGCTGCGTAACTAATACACTTTCTGCAGATGTAATACAACCACTACAAGCTAAACAATCAGCAAGTGTGATTTCAACTTTCTGTAATTTTTCTGATTGTCCAGCCTAACGGACACACAATAAATATACCGTAAAATAGTTTATAACTTTAATTCAATACTATAATAAATATATACAATTAGTAATTTACTTCATTTAATGCAAAAGGTGTCCCGTCTTCCTCAATTTTTATTTTTGCGCCAGTTTTGCTTTTTGACTTTTGAATTTCTATGGGTTTGATACATTCCTGCAAAGAAAGCCCCATACAATTTATTGCTATAAAATTAAAAAGTAGTAAAACTACCTGCGAAGGTGTAATAAAGTCATCTAGATTTGTAATTTGTAATGCTCCACTAAATCGCGATGTCATGTTTATCTGAAAAGGATATTCGGACTTTAGTTATTATATAAATACTATTAATTGGTATGTAAATTCAATATACTCTTTAAAACAATATAATGGAACTATTTTATACGTATTTTATACGTGTTTTTTACGTATAACTCCGGGCATAAACGTTCTTGTTTATATTAAAACAGGCGTGAATATGAAATAGTCAGTGAATAGTAATAATGTCATAAATTAAATGTTACATCGTTATAGATATAACGTTGTAGGATTATAACGTAATAAATAAACATACAATACTGATATTATATAATATTGATATAAATGTTATTCCTGTTTGCTTTTAGTTCATTCGATTTCAAACATAACCTCATTTTTAATTACTAGATAAGAAAATAATAAAACTATTTAACATGACTATTTGATATAAATAAATGTTTCGAACGTAAGAAAATTAATCAGGATTAGCTTTATCTAAGTATCGTCCCTTGTTTCTTAATTATATGTGGCCCATGAAATACTATAACTTTGCGTTGAAAAGTTTTTTTCATACAACAATAAATAAGGTAGATATTTAGCTGAGCCATGCTATATATCCTTGTGGTACATAGATCATTCAATAAATAAGTGAAATTAATGTGTACATTTCTGTGAATTTGTTATGCGGCATTTAAATAAGCTGCACGCAACGAAACTTGTATTGATATTGTATGTATTTCAACTACCTGTCCGCCTATTTTTCCCTCCGATCGTACATATACTAGGGTGTATGTACCTACACCATCATATCTTTCCCACCACGTCGAAGTGGTGTCATGAGTCTTGTGCTCGTGCTTGTGTGTCTAGTTCAGGGGTAAGTACGCGCCTGTAAGATGGCAATATCCTCAGTGTCGCTTAAAGAAGGGTTCCACTTGATACGATTTCTATGAAATTTTTATTCAGAAATGACTGAAGTCAAGAAAGATGATGTTGTTAAGATATTACATACGTATCCTCTATGTAGAGTAAGTAAAATATTATTTATATATTACATCGTAAATTGTATTTAAAAAGAAATAAGTCTGGTTTCTTTTATCAATAACGTTTGATCAATAGGAAAAGTCACTATTACGAGAAATAATATCCTTATGCACACAGTTTAATTTTATTAAATTTTCTATTAAACAATCATTTCAATGTTATTATTTGTTATTATTTTAATCATTTCAACATCATATGATGTTATTATGAAACGAATTTAAGCAATTCATTTAATAGGACGATATATATTTAAATTAGAAAATTCTATTCATATTATATAGAAATTAAGTAATTTATGAAAATTCTTTTTTTCAAGATTATCATATTATTTATTTTATATTGACATTATTATATTTGTGGCGTTCGTTCCAGAAATGCGATATGTCGGATGAAATGAAACAAGAAGCAATGGAATTGTGCGTCACCGCGGCAGAAAAGTATGCGGATAATTATGAAAGCGTTTCTCGGATGATCAAAGAGGCAATGGATAAGAAATTCGGTGCGTCTTGGCATACAGTCGTCGGCGAAGGCTACGGATTTGAAATAACTTATCAACTTAAACATCTATTATACATGTACTGTGCTGGAAATTTAGCGATATGCATATGGAAATCAGCATAGTGATATTTACAAAAATTGATATACAAACAAATGTACAAATGGCGTAATTATGATTTTTTAAAAAGACTATTTCTACGCAAAACGATTCTTGTTTTAAACAATACCGAAACTATTATCATATTGTACAAATGAAATATTTTTCAATAATTATTATCGATCGTGAATAGGCACATTTGCATATTAATGCTGAAACACATTCAGATATACATAAAAAATAGATTTGACTACAATTTAAAAATTTCCCTCATTACAGTACATAAAATAAAAGACTAATAAGAAGCGATTTATAATTTTTATACAAATGAAGGACTATACATGTAAAATGATATATAATTATTGGAATATTAATTATTTCGGAAAATTTTATGACGTTCTATGATATGATGTAGATCTTAAAAATTTCTTAAAAATTCTTCGGTATTATTCAGTTAGATGAAAAATATATTAATAAATTGATATTGAAATTTTTTCGTCGTGATATTATCATACAAAATGTAAAATATTACGCATAATATTATGCTAAATTATGTCATTATCGTTATTATTATTATGTATGTGCGTGCGAACTGCATATATATATATATATATATATATATATATACACACACGAATACAGCGCGTTAATATGCATATGATTTATTGTATTTGTTTGTGATATTATTTATTTGTATAAAAGTCTTCTGTGGAGTTGTTATGTAAAATATATGTAATATATGTTATTGTGTATAATATAATATTTAAATTCTGGATCAATTGTTATTAATATATGCAATATCATTCAATTTTATAATGTAATAAGCCATGTAATATGATTATTGTTTAAACATTTATTTCAGTGGTTTAATTACAGTATTATTTCATAGACTTATTAAAACATGTTGTTATATGTTCTCGTACAAGGACGATTTAAGTTTTATTGTAAGAAAGGTATCGTTTATTTATAATATAATCATTTATCTGTTACAGGATTCCGCGGCTACAAGTCTATACAGTTTTCTCTTTACTTTGATTTAAAAAATATGAAATGCTGGTGCAAAAAATATGTTACAATATTCCTGTTACAGTTTCAACATTTACGCGGAGAATTACAACTGAGCATATTTTTATATTTAATGTGTTCAGTGTATTAATTTATGAGAATGTAATTTACAAAATTCTTTTCACAGATTATTATTTCATCAGGATTCAGCGATTATTATGTATTCTGTAATAAGCAATTTGTATACTTAACAAGATTTATAGTTCTACACCTTAAACAATGGGATACATTTAAAATAATACATGTCTCAGCTTCACAAAAAATGTCACAACGACAATTAAATGTTTACTATATATTTACATAGTACGGATTTTAAATTAGATAAACGAAATTTATTACACTGAATTTAATAACAGTAATAGTAGTATTAATTGTATTAATAATAATATTTCTATATGTTTAAATTATTTACTATCACCGTTAATAATACATATGCTTTCCATTTTCCACTTCTGCAAGATGAATTCTCTAGTATTTACAACCCTTGCAGAAACTTCTACACGCGCTGCTAGATCATACGTTCCAGGTGCTGGAAGTACAGCCTGTAAGTTTACGGTACTGCTGGTCAATGGCTCTACGTGAGAACAAATTGCTGAGTGACAAGCATATCTGTAGTACGCAGAAGCTTGCGGAGAATACAACTGTGACTTTATATTTGGCAAATGACTTTCGCTAAAAACATATAGGGTAAATTATAATACGACCCATAAAAATTACTTTTTAAAATTACTTTTAGTAGTATTTACCTGCTAGTACCTATTGTATTGATTTTAATATCAATCTGTGATTCTAAATGATTTTGTATATACATTATTACTGGAATGAAACACAATCGATTTTCATTAAAATTATGTGTGATCTCTCTATCATGACTCAAAGAAAATGAAATCATATTTTTCAAAAATTCTGTTTCCGACGCTTGTTCCTTATTAGTCACAGCCAAAGAATCAAGTACGTTTCTATCTGGACCAAAGATCTTCAAACGTCCAGCATATTCGTTTGATTCAACGTGAACTTCTTTGGGGTGTTTATACGTTTTACTCAAATATTGTATATCGAGATGATGTTGACCGATTGCTTGCCTCGTAATAATTCCATTTTCAATTATTCTCGCTCGCCATTTGAGAATTAAAGTAGAATTTAGTGCCATAGTAGCAGATAAGGACCTCTGTTCATCACTTTGTGGTAATCGTTGAGATTGCTGTACTTCAGCTATGTTTTCATTGATGTCTAACGATGGAATATCCTTTCTTTGTATGAAATTGATGTACGGATAATTTGCATCTGAATCAATACATTCGTTTTCTTGAGTTAAAGATACATCAGAAAACTTCGACTCATTTTTGCCCTTTTTTCTTAGCTTTAACATTAAATGAAACATTTCTTGAAACTGTATCTTAACATTTGTCGACAAAACCGATGAACTAAATATAGACCATGTATCACTTTCGAACAATACTTTGGACAACAAAATTTCACTTGTGATTAAGTCATGAATTTGATTTGCATTTTTAATGCAAATTATTAAGTTTAATGTAGGTGAAACATCCTTAAATAATACACTTCTCGAAGCAATCGCGCTAATTTGTATGGAATCTAAAACTGTAAAATGCCACGTGTGTCTACAAAGTCGGTGTTTTATCGCGCTTCTTAAATCAGTATTTTCGTAATAAAAAAGTAAATCTAAACAATGAATCCCTTTTTCATGTGGCGCTCGAATCCAAAATGGTATTATATGCGTTTCTCCAACATTCAATATATCGTTAGTGGAAGGTAATGGAATCTTTAATATGAGCCTATTGTTTCTCTTTGTCATATGTTCTGAAATCACAAATAAAATACTAGTATAATATTACTTTCAACTCAATCAATTTCAATCATTGAATGAAATCAGTAGGGAAGTTTTATTTACTTTCTTGCGTGTCTACGTATTCATCTCCTAAGGAGAGAAGTTTTGCGTCCGTAGATGCCAAGTAAATGTTTGACAAAGGCGAATTGCCCACATTTTTCAATGTTATATCTATTTTATGAATTTCACCACATAGCATTTCTGCAGAGAGTTTGCTAAAGAAGATCTAAAAATAAATATTTATTAACCATATTGTACAGATATTGTACGATATTGAATACTTAACATATAACTGCATCGTAATATTAAATACCTGCATAAATGGAGCTTTTTCAATAATATTCATTTCTAATCTATAATCTACACCATATATATTTGTACCAGGTTTCTCTTTAATATTTTTTAATCTGGGTCCCCTAATTTCAAACAATCTTTTCCCAGTAATAGCTATTGTCGGATTAACAACTGGTGGATCTACTACATGAGTCGGATTGGATAAATCATAACTCAAACCTAATGTTTTTAATTCTCCTACTTCTTTTGGTATAAGACACAGTGTAACATTTTGTTTAGATGTTGGTTGTAAAATAATTTTTTCGATCACTTGTGCATCCACTAGCGTTAAATTCTCTGGTGATCTCGTTTCATTTGTAACTTGTCCATTGGCCGAAGTAAATGACCATAATAAAGTCACATTAGACAATGGCAGCGGTATGTGTAATGGATTATATAATTCAATGAAAAAATGTACTGGCTCGTTCAAAACAGCATTTGGTTTTACACTGTTATTACTTGTCTTAGAATATAGCGCAACTGTAGGTCTGAATATCATAGGAGGAGATCCCTGAGCCTCTGTAATTAACATTTCTTCCATTCTTGCCCATCTTACATCATCACATTCTTCAGTATCAAATGAAACATGACTCGCAGGAATATTATTTTCATGTGATTTAGCTATGGGACCATAAAATACTTTAATGTCATTACTATCTATTAATGGTAAAGGCAAGATAGGAAGCTCTTGAGAATTCGATAAACCTTCCTGTAACAATAACTATAATATATAATTAATGCGATAGTCAAGATATATATCTATCTAACTATCTATCTATCAATCTATCTATTTATCCATCCATCTATATATATATATATATATATATATATACATATACATATATATATATATATACATATATATATATACATATAATGTGTATATATATATATATGTATATATACACATTATGGATTATATTTCATAACTATACTTATACATACATTGTGGATATGTAAAAATTCACGTAAAAATGCAGCTTGTTGTGAAGCTGGTTGTTTACTGGAAACATTTAGTAATTTCTCAAATGCTTTAACTGCTTCACTAACTTGTTTTAATGATGCTGCTTGTCTACCAATTGTAAAATGTATGTGATCTTCTGCCAATGACCAACCTCTTCCACTATATACCTAAGAATATGATAATTTAATATAAAGATTTAATATATATGTATAAGAGTTAATTAAAGAATACCTGGTAAGCTTGTTGATAACATCGCAATGAATGTTTTCGTTGACCTGCTTTTGAAAAACGATGACCAGCGAGAACAGCATGAAATGCGTACTTGCGCATCATCTTTGGCCCAATAAAACAATAAGCAGCTTGTTCCAACAAGAGTGCAGAACGTAAATCCGAATCTTCACTGGTCATGCGAATCAATTGTTTAGCAGCCTCTCCATATAAGCTTTTACCTTTCAAACATTCTGCACTGAGCAATGTTGCTCTTGTTGCAAATTGGGGCATTTTACAACTAGTCGAATAGGTCAATATTGCATCATCCATATATTCGATAGTCTTCCTATTAGTTTCACCTTGCATAAATGCACTTAAAGCAGCCATTTCAAGAGCACCTGCATAATAGAGCCAAGCTTGATCTGCTGCAAAATCTCTCTTTGCGCTATGATATGTTTGGTAAGCAAGTGAATAGTGACCAAACATAAAACATAAGTCACCTAAGCGACGCAATTGCAATTCTGGTGATTCTGTTGTATAACTGAAATCCAAACAAACTGGAACTTTATATATTTATATATGCATATTTATATATGCTACATATTACTTTTGTTATATCTAATACTTGTAATTTGCTATTATTTAACAAGATGATATATAATAAACATACATTACAGCATTTGACGGAGTAGGTCCCGGTATTCCAGGTTTATTCGTTCCAAACCATCGTCTTGTAGCACTAAAAAGTGATCTACTGACTCCCTTTTTATTTGAAATTACATCATTTAGCAAACCAATTTGTTTCTCTACATATGGTAACAAACATTTTAAACAAAATTCTGTTATTAATGCTCGTACTCTTTCAAGATCTTGCGTAGATAATCTAGCACCATGTTGTGTTGCTACGTGACTAGGAGAATCTGCCCAAACATTTATATTTATTGGTGTATCAGTGATTATTTGTCCCTTTCCGTGCAACACAGAACTTCTTGACTTGTCAGCTGTTGGACTTAAAGGATGAATTGTAACGGGAACAGCTTCCTGACCAACTTCTAAATGTGTACTTGTTGATTCGGATATTTCAGAAGAGAAACTAATAGCGTCATTTAAATCTGGAGAAACCAATACAGAATTCTGTGGAGCTATTGGTGTTCCAGCCTGGCTTGTTCTAAAATATGAAATACACATTCACAATTATTTCATAAACTTTTGAGAAATATAGTAGAAGCATACTTTTCAGTATCTGTTGTAACTTCATTTGGCATAGAAGAAACACCACTAGTATCTACAGGTGTGCGAGGAGAACTATTCTGTTCACTACCTCCTAATACTTCTGAATGTTTTACTAAAAATTGACTCCAAGGATCTGGTAAATGAATATTATCATCAACTTGACCTGGTGGTCTTGAATTCATTTGTAATAAAAAACAATTATTAGCACCATAAATGTTCTTCATATCCGTAAAAACTTTTTCAGCCCTATAAAGATTACAAATAGTTAATTTTAATAATAGTTGGTATTTTCTACATAAAGAAGCCATGAAACAAAAAATAAATACTTGTTCCTGTCATCTTGTAAAGTATCATGTACTAAGATATAATATCTTAGCGTATTGTTATTAAACCATTTTGGCAATTTTCCAGGTATATTTTGATGTAATTGGGCACCCATATTTTGTATCTTCTCTAAAGGATTGTCCTCCACTGTGGAAACTATTATCATACAAGCAAGAAAATGTTTTGTGAATTCATGATCCGATGGAAATTGAACACTTAAAAACATTTCTCTCCATGCTTCAAACCAAGGAACCGATACTGGGATATCAAGCTCTGTTGTTCCAATTTGAATAGTAGTTGTATGTTCACACATGGCTGAACTAACTGCTTCATTTAACATTTTTCTGGCAATACTTGGTTCTGGTGGTTGCGCATTAACATCTTGTATAAAAAGACGAAGATTTCTAACACTAATAGTATTTCCTTGCGGGTCTTTAAAATGACCTATAAGAATAAAAAATAAACCTATTGATATTTCACAATAATACACATAATATAATATGTAATTTGTGAAATAAATCTAAAGATAATTGAAAATTCAAATTTATTTATGCGCAATTATGATTATTTCATAATTTACTTATTGTTTTGTTATGAAACACTGTTGTTTGCTGTATTTTTTTTTTCTTTTTTAACATTTTATGAACTATTCGTCATAATTGTTTAAATATTAAAAGTATGTAACAAAAGCTTGTATTTAATAAAACAATAGCAATACAGTATAACAAAATAAAACATTTTTTATTTATCATTATATAAAATTTCGCCTTTGTTACATCTAGTTAGAGCATTTACTTATTCTAATGAGTAATTTTAATGATGTAATTAATGAGTAATTAATGCGACAGTGCCTAGTGTAGTAATGAATGAGAAGAATTACCAACTTCTTACCTTCGGTATTTAGCTTACAAAACGGTTGTAGAAGTTCAACGAATGATAAATTGTTTTTTTGACATACAGCATCAGCTGCGGTTGAACATATCGCAGCGATTTGTGGTGAAAAGGCATTGCTTATAAACTCACGAGGGGTTAACTTACATTGAGCCATGATACTTGCTAGAAAATCTACAGATAATCAAGGTTACGTTCTACTAATATGTAGAATTATACGATTACAATCATTTTGGGCGTTAAGTTACTATCGTTTATTGGCTTACAATTAGAAGTTGACAGAAGCCAAACTTTCAACATATCCCAAAGTAATAGTAAACATCTTCAATGAACAGCTGTTCTGTGAAGATTTACCCGTGAAGGGTAAAAATATGGAGATGAGACATACATATCATAATATTAGACGGAAGTGTTTATGGGCGGAAATTCTATCTATAATTTTTTGCACATTCAATCCTATAAATGGTAGATGTTCGAACAAACTTCTAAAAGCGCAAGAATGTTTGATTATTCCAGGAAATATAAGAAACAGATAATATAACAATTATATACTTAAGGCTATTGAATTATATAGCATATCCTGTTTTCCGCTTCCAAGTAGTATGTCCGAAACAAATTTGCTTCTAGTTTAATAAGATTTATTTTATTATATAATAATCATATCATTTATATTTGCTGGATGAAAAGCTTAATTTACCGAGCGTGTGAACTTAACAACTCTTAATTAATCAACTGATAGTTATTTTATGTATATAAAAATCTTAATTCTTCATATATTGATTCATATATATGTATCTACATATTACAATCATATAAAGGAATTAATATGTCGAACATAATTCAAGAGTTTTGTAGGAATGTTATAGTTTCTTATGGATATATATAGCCATATTTCCTTGAATCATGCGTATACATTTTCATATCTTAAAATAAAAAATATTTCATAAATCTTGTGTAACATCGTATTTATTGTTAACTTAAATGCGCATGGTTAACAATAAAGATTTTCATCATTAGACTGTGAATTTTTATGCATCTATGGGAAATTTAAAGGTGCAAAAATGCATACAACATGTAAACATATATAAAACATCTAAAGTAAAGCATTTACTTAAGAAATACATATATATATATATATATATATATATATATATATATATATATATATATATATTAATAGATGAAATAAATTTCTATTTGTAGGTTCTATCTTTTTAGTTATGTTATGTTTAGTTATGTAAACATAAAAATGTACAAAACTCTGTATTCTATTTATCATATTTATGACATACATGTTCTAGATTGTTTATACATGTTTCGATTTGAAAATTGGAATATTACGAATTAGAAATCGCACAAGTAACAGAATCGATCACGATAGGAGCATCGAGAGTATCGTATCACCTTAACCATCGATAAGTATTGTCGATGTTTCACAATCTACCTAGCACACAGCATACGCAATAATTGCTTTAGATTTTAGATCATCTTGGACGGAATGATCAGATCGCGCAATCGTTGACAACTTTTTCGTAAGCACATCGATGTTTTAAGTCATGTTAACGTTTAGTTTGTGATTACGCGAAGAAATAATACATAATATGAACATATTGTAACAGGTAAAAAGATATGATTACTCTTATGTAAACTGATTGGTAGCTTTTATATTGTTTCACATTCGAATTGCACGTACGGTAACTTAGCAGTATGTTAGGAGTAAATTTCTTCGAAGATAAACAAATCCTTATTCATATAAAAAGTCGATCAAGATATTCGTCTGTAATAAATTGAAATATAGATTCCTGTAACAGAAATGATCAAGATCTTATTTTTTAGTATTATTTAAATCTCACCACTCAATGTATATATTCAGCTTATTGTTATGGATACACACTGTACATATATACCTATGCGTACTAATTGTCAAAAATATAAATTAATCTTAATGTGTTTAATATATGTAGTTCTGTTTATATGCCTGAATTAAAAATATATACATGTATATATTTTATCGAATTTTATATTTAAAGTTTAATATAAGAATATCTTGTTCTTTATATTACAGCTGAGGAACAAATGATATGTATAAGATATTTATACAAACCTTGCATACCTAATTATTTAATTAATATTAATGTTAAATCAATATTAAAATCCCAGAGACAAAGAGACAATTAGTTAGTATGTATGTACTAATACCAAGAATCTATAGAATAAGATTTGGATTTAAATATTGGAAGATGTTTATTATACCAACGTGTCAGTAGACAATTTAAATTTCTATCTGAATGATTATATATAAATCAACACAATTTATCACGCTATAAAAATATACGATATAAAAGCATAACATGGCAGGGAATGGGTCTATCATAATACCAAACATAAAACAATTACATGAGAATGATCATGTATCTACTACAAATGTAGATTACTCCAGCATTAGAGGAAAGGTAGGTTCCATGATACTTTATTTCAATAACATATAATTTTATGATAATAATGAATTACAATTGATTTCAGAATGTTTTAGTTAGTCCATCGGAGGATCAATACGAATTGTTACTTAGACGCTTAAGAGAGAGAGTTCAAGATGGTGGCAGTGAAACAATTTTTGATATTGGTATCGGCGAAGGTTTGTATAATAGCTTTTTCGAAGTTTATATTTATAACTCTTAAACGTTTATATTTATAAAAATATTTATAATTTATCTTATCCTAGATGGTTCAGAAGATGGTTTAAAAGAAGATGAATACGAAGCATCCGTTGCTACTTTACAGTCTCTTGCTGCAACGTTAGAAGCAGACTGTGTACTTCTGCGTCAAAGTAAAGTAGATCAAGGTCTTATAGGTCAATATCTGGTGCGGAGACGGTTAGATAGGCAGGATTTCCTAGAAATCAGGTTTATATTTTAAATAATGTACATAAGGATAAAATAAATGTAATGCTGTTAGAGAAACTTAGTTTAACAGATTTTAATTAAAGAGTGGCTGTTGTTGGCAATGTTGATGCTGGAAAATCAACACTTTTGGGTGTATTGACACACGGAGAGCTCGATAATGGTCGAGGCTTAGCGCGTCAAAAATTATTTCGACATAAACACGAAGCCGAAACAGGACGTACTAGTTCCGTTGGAAACGATATTCTCGGATTTGATAGCGTTGGTATGAAAGAAGATTGATGTGCCAAGTGTTAAATGTTATATCTTTATATTATGTATATTGTAATATATGTATGTATGATAAACACATATCTTGCATCTAGGTAATGTAGTAAATAAACCAGAGCATGGATCCCTGGATTGGGTTAAAATATGCGAGAAGTCGTCTAAAGTTATTACATTCATTGATCTTGCTGGACATGAAAGATATTTAAAAACAACTGTTTTTGGAATGACAGGACATGCCCCTGACTTTGGTAAAACCTTTTGATAATGTTATTTAAAAAATATCTATGTACATGTATCTTAATGCATAAACATTTAATATTTAGGTATGTTAATGGTTGGAGCAAATGCTGGTATTGTTGGAATGACAAAGGAACATCTAGGTTTAGCTTTAGCTCTATCGGTTCCAGTATTTGTTGTAGTTACGAAAATTGACATGTGTCCACCAAATATATTACAAGAAAATTTAAGGCTGTTAATAAGGATCTTAAAGTCCCCAGGTTGTAGGAAAGTACCCGTTACGGTAAAAACGCCTGATGATGTTGTCGTTAGCGCTACTAATTTTGTATCAGAACGGTCAGCTTTTATTTTTGTACAATATTATATTATCCTTGTATGAATATACAAATATTTCATTTATTAATATATTTATACAGATTATGTCCTATTTTTCAAGTATCGAACGTAACAGGAGAAAATTTGAATCTTCTCAAGATGTTTCTAAATTTATTAACTGCAAGAATGATTAGTCATGAAGATGAACCAGCGGAATTCCAAATAGATGATACATACTCAGTGCCAGTTAGTATTTTATAACATATATTAGAAGTCTTAGCTGTAGAACGAAAAATTTTCTTCATTTTATATTCCTGTACCCTTCCAGGGAGTTGGTACCGTAGTTTCTGGCACAACATTGAAAGGTGTCATTAAGCTAAACGACACTCTATTATTAGGACCTGATCCTTTAGGTCGTTTTATTCCAATCGCAGTAAAAAGTATACACAGGAAGAGAATGCCTGTTCGTGAAGTGAGAGGTGGTCAAACTGCTAGTTTTGCATTGAAAAAAATTAAAAGATCACAAATTAGAAAAGGTATGGTAATGGTTGCACAAGCATTAAATCCTCAGGCTTCTTGGGAATTTGAGGGGGAAATTCTTGTACTACATCATCCTACAACAATAAGTTCTTGTTACCAAGCAATGGGTAATTCTCTTTTTCTATCTGAACCTTTTAATTATTCAAATTCATTGTGTTTTTATGCTTAAAATTATTTAAAATCATTTTCAGTACATTGTGGAAGCATAAGGCAGACAGCGTCCATAATTTCTATGTCGCAAGATTGTTTAAGAACAGGAGACAAAGCTTTAGTACGTTTTAGATTTATAAAGCATCCCGAATATATAAAACCAGGACAAAGAATAGTATTTAGAGAAGGGCGTACTAAAGCAGTGGGCAATGTAGTGAAACTTATTCCATATTCTAGTACCACAGTCATACAAACATGTAGAGCCAATAAACCAAATAAAACATCTCAAAATCGACAGAGCTCATCATCTACGATGCAAGTATGTAATAAAGATATTTTTCTCGTGCGGAAATATGAGAATTTTGGGTAATGTTAAATTATTATTTGTCCATTAGCCATTAGATGCAACCGAAACAAATTCTTCATTAGAAGGACAGACATCAAAGCAAGAAAATTTGCTTCAAAAATCTAATAAACGACAAAATAAAAAAGGTAGAGGACGAAAAGGAGGACGATCTCATAATACTGTAAATAGTATTATTCAACCACTGTCAGAACAAAATCCTCCTACAAAACTGTGAACTGTGTCTATGTACAAAGCACTTAAACATGTGTGTATATATATATATATATATATATGTATATGTACATGTACATACACATTCTATATATAGAGCTTATTTTGCAACTTTCGAAAATTAATAACAAACATCTTTTTATTCATAAGAGATCGTTGTTTTTTTAATAATGTAAATTCAAACGAAATTTACAGATATTTTTTAGTTAATTTTCGAGAACTGTAAAGAGAGTATACTGTTTATATATAAAACATATTATTTTATATATAAACATATATTATTTTAGTAGTTATTTATATTAAAACATATATAAAATTATAACGTATAATAATGACAATTTTATGTAGTCTGGGGTTACTTGTATCCTTAAGGATCGTGATTTTTGACCTTGAAGTATAAAAGTAACCCCTGAACTGTTTCATATAACGCACATCGTGCTCTCAACCCTATTAGAGTACAAATCGTCTTTCACATTTTGATTAAATTATCAAAAATATAGAAATGTCGTTTTTAGAACGATAAAATGACAAAATATACGTTGTTATTCATAAAGTGTTTTATTTTTATAAACACAAGTGTATCTTAAAATAGCATTAAGTAAATATAATCTATATATATATATATATATATATATATATATATATATATATATATATATATATATATATATATATATATATATATATATATATATATATATATATATATATATATATATATATATATATATATATATATATATATATATATATATATATATATATATATATATATATATATATATATATATATATATATATATATATATATATATATATATATATATATATATATATATATATATATATATATATATATATATATATATATATATATATATATATATATATATATATATATATATATATATATATATATATATATATATATATATATATATATATATATATATATATATATATATATATATATATATATATATATATATATATATATATATATATATATATATATATATATATATATATATATATATATATATATATATATATATATATATATATATCTGTTTCTTTTACTACTATCGAGCACCTATATCGTAATTGTTAATGCCTTTTTGAAATTTTATCAAAAGTATATTCAGATGTTCTTTCCTCGTGATATGATAATATTTGTGCTTATTAAGATAAAATTTCGAAAAAATTATTAATTTTTCGAATATAGCATCGTACTCTTATAAATGATGTATTAGAAATATTTATTTATTGTAATATATTTGCTGTAGTTGTAATATAAAATTCATTTTTATGCGTGTGAAAAGAAGAAGATTCTTACAGAAAAAATATAAAATAACATTAGATATGCAGCATATGAAATTATATTGTATAAGATTTTTATATTAAATACACTGTAGCACATCCAAGAAAGATCTTTTCAACAGAAAGAAAATGTAAGCTAATGACAGAACAAGTGTTGGTTAAAAAATAAAAATATTGAATGAGAATATATGGAGAATATATGAATTAGTAATATTAAAGGGAGTTTAAGATGATAAAAGAAATATTAACAATATCACATTTAATAATAACAAAATGGATAGAAAGGAAACAGAAGAAAAATATAAGATGTATAATTTACTAAATTATTAATTAGTTATTATTAACTAATACAAATCATATTGTAGATGTACTAGTAAAAATTCTCATGAAACATGATATATGTACATATTATTTCCATTTTCATTCATTGTACTATGAAAAAAAATAACAGAAATATAGAAGTAAGATTCGAATTTGTTTTTATACTAAATGGAATAATAAATGTAAAAAATTAAATGTTCATATTTTTTATTACCTTTTTATACGGCCATTGTTACAAGTGTAATTTTTTCTAACTAAATCAAGTCTAGAATAATAAACTATAGCTATATCATTTTTACAAAGTCTAATAAAACTTTCTTTGATTCTGATTTTTGTTGTCACTATACCTTAAATATATACAAGGACTACTTTGGTGGATTTTTCTTCATTTCATCTTTACCTTCTTGCAACTTTTGTCTAAATGTATTTGTAAACAGTTTTAATTGCTTGGCAAATTTTTCACGATCAAAAGGTAAATGATTATCATGTGTTCTACTCCGAAGTATTAAATACGCTACAAATCGTGCAGACTCCCTAATTGGTTTTGAATTTGCTAATTTCTCGATTAATTTTTCATTACGCATCAAATATGTAAATAACATGCGCAAGAAACCCATGCTGATATAAATTGCTTTTACTTAAATAAACAAAATTATTTATACTTTTGGAACTTCAAATGTACACATGTTACGATATTTCAATAAAAGCTCTCTTTTAAGCCTAAGTTGTTTACGTAGAGTTTCAAGTTTTTGCAACTGTTCTTCTTTACTGTATTCTATTCCTGGCAATCTTCTGATCTATAAAATATGAAAACTATGTATTGTAAATACAGCATACGGTCTAAGTATTTACATAAAAAAAAATTATTTTTACCCTAAAAGTAAAAGAAATTTTCATAGTATTTTACCTGTGCCCTTGCAGAATCTAATTTCTTCTGAAGCTCTAATATTTTATGACTTGTATCTTGTGACTCTTTAGCTTTCTGTGTAGTGTCATGTGGATCTTTCTCAACGCTAAAAATAAATTAAATATATATATATTTCATGTTCATAACATGAACATTGTGAAATGAAATTTTTATACTCTATATCTATGTTAACAGATTTTATTTGAAATATGCTTATTTTAGAAGGATTTTAATACATATACGTATTGTATATAATTTCTATATAACTACAACACATAAACTTGGTAGTACATCAATGTTTTAATATACTGATGAAATAACCTCTCTATTTTATTGTTATCATTCACACCATAACAGATTAAAAAATATTTTTGTACATGTATAATTTTTATATTATTTATAAATATAAACGGAGTATTGTCTCAAAAGATAATCTCAGAATTTAAAATGTATACAGTGTGTCTAAAAAGAAAAAAGAATAACATTGAGTAAATAAAACGATAAAGGTTAAAATTTTTATTTTGAAGGAAAGTCAATTGATGAGTATCATTATCTTAACTATCAAGTTATTAAAATATACGAACCTCCGAATTATTTCATATATAAGTGGCAATATTTCAATATCCAAATCATCCACTGTAAATTGTGAGCGTAAAGCACCTTCCTCCGATAATTCCGATTCCATTATAACATTTTGATTAAGCATAAGTAATGTATTATAATTATAACATTTTGTGTACTTCTATGACAACACAGCCGCGTTCATATGGCTTCGATCACAATCTTCTGCAAAAACCCTATCGTTAAGTGGGTGTCGGCCTTAAATAGTAACTTTTAAGTTGTAACCAAATTTCACGAGGTTCACTTGGAACCAAGTTCAGTTTAGTTCTTCCTGTTCACTTCTTTCTCGTTCAGCATCTACAAGGCCCGCAAGGTAATATATATTTGATACTAATCTATCTTAATCTTGAAGTATCCAAACGTATATCCTTCATTCTCTCATTTTGTATCATTTAAAATTATTAAACAAGCTTATACAAGTATTATTTTTGTATTTAACAAATATTTTTGTTTATTATTGATAGCCAGTATGGGACGTCGACCAGCCAGATGGTACGTATTATATGTATTTATTTCCTTTATTAATGCTTAAGTTAAATATACAAATATTATCGCCTCTTATACTTATATATATTGTATAAAGTTGTAAGTTATGAAGCTTATAATAACCTCTTGTGATGGTGTAGAAGGAGGTTATGTGTGTTCTTGCATTGGTAAATTCTACGTTATATTTATAATGTTAATGCTTGTAAACACTTTTTATACGAATTATACCTATATTTTTCTTTGTAGTTACCGATATTGCAAAAACAAACCATATCCCAAATCAAGGTTCTGTAGAGGTGTGCCTGATCCAAAGATTCGTATCTTTGATCTTGGAAAAAAGAAAGCCTCTGTGGAAGATTTTCCGTTATGTGTGCACTTGGTATCAGATGAATATGAACAGCTTAGTTCCGAGGCCCTTGAAGCTGGACGTATTTGTGCAAATAAGTACATGGTGAAAAACGCTGGAAAAGACCAGTTTCATATCCGTATGAGACTCCACCCATTCCATGTTATCCGGATTAATAAAATGTTATCATGTGCTGGAGCTGATAGGTATATAAGCAATCCGTTGTATTTTATTAAACAACTAATATTATAATTTAGATTAATGCTTAGCAAGTTATAACTTAAATTTCCTATATATTGTTCGTTAGTATATTATATTAATAATATAGTGTGTTTGAATAAATATTCTGTTTTATACTTTTCAAGGCTTCAAACAGGAATGCGAGGTGCCTTTGGTAAACCACAAGGTACTGTAGCCAGGGTACACATTGGACAGCCAATTATGAGTGTACGTTCATCTGATCGTCATAAGGCTGCTGTAGTTGAGGCATTGCGACGTGCCAAATTCAAATTCCCGGGTCGACAAAAAATTTATGTTTCAAAGAAATGGGGCTTTACGAAATATGACCGCGCTGAATATGAAGAATTGAAAGCAGCCGGCCGATTAGCTCCAGATGGATGCAATGTGAAATATTTGCCAGAACATGGGCCTCTTGAAGAATGGAAAAAATTTAGAAAAGTTCTTGCTGCTGCTTAACCGAAACAATTTTTTGAAATTTTGATTTCATTAAACAGATTGAAAACAAGTACATGTGTTATTAATCTCGTAATTTTTGTAATATAATTATGGTATTTGTAGAGGATTGATAGTTACAATAAAGAGAACTGGCTATACTCGTAGATACTGCTCGATATGACTAACTCGCTTGCGATCGCGTCCGTTTATTTGTACTGGTCGGGGGAGGGTGGAAAAGTTCAAATTCGCCTTTGTTCGACGGATGCGCGTAGCGGCGACATTGTTTTGCCGGGAGCTTATTTATTATTACAGTACGTGTTTGATAACGATATTGATACTCCGAGGCAAAACAACATGATTTGAATTGTCCTCTAACTCGTGTGCCGCTACATATTCATATTACATTATTAACTCTGATTGTTATTTATTTATTAGCTTTTTAAAGTTAAATTTTATACGTCTATTTAGTATTTTATTTACTTAAATATAGCTATTTCAAATATTAGCTTTATTGATTATTAATTCAAAATAACTTTTGAACCAATGGGCTGCTAGGCTAAAAACTATCATATTTCGTCTTTATTCATCGAGTATCAGACGATGCGAAAAATGTTAGAAAGAAGAAATGATGTCCAGAAACGAAGTTTAACCAAACTTTTGTCAAGAAATGATATAGTTACGTGCAACTTTTAAATAATAAGTTTTCATGCTAGATTTCTACCCAATAATTACAAACGTAAACAATTTTAATTTATAATTTATAATGTCATATTTACAATTTACAATCAGAATTTTAAGGAAATATGTGCATTCTTACATTGTAAAACTTAATTAAATACATTTTATTTTTTTCTCTTTAGAAGACATAATTAGATATCATCTGATGATATTTATTTCAATGTGAATGACATGTAATATCCGCGTCATTTTCATTTTCTGTGTTTTGAATCTCGTCATCAATATCTATATCACATATTCCGCGACTATGAGTATCAAGTGCCTCTGTACTAGTTGCTGCATCTAATAATGGAGATAATTTCTCTGCCTCGCTGTCTTCATCTTGTCCTTGTCCCTGTAAATACTAATTTATTTGGACGACGTAGTAAAAATCTGCATATTTTCAATATTTTGTTAAAAGTGCTAAGTAACGAAAAAATATTGGAAATTGGACATCAGGAGATTACCTCGTAAAGAGAAACTGGTTGTTTTTCATTAACAAGTCTAAGGGTATCTCGTGATCGTAATACTGCCTTTTCCCGTAAATGCCCGGAGTTTTTCATCCTCATTGCTGGAGATCGGCTATGTAAATCTTTCTGTGATCCTGAATGTTCATCTCTGGCTAACAAGACAGACATTCGAAATTCCGGGGTAGGGCATGTAGTACCACTTGTTCTTGCAGATACATCTCCATCTTTTGAAGATACATGTTTCGATACAGGTGTACGTTCTATAGACCTTTTAAATAGCATGTGAATTACAATTTAAATCGATTATACTAACATAAACTAAACGTAAATTTAAAAATTCAAGTAATATAATATTTTACCTATTTAATGCTTCAGCTGCTTGAATCGCACTGGCTGTATCTGTATCAGGAGTGTCTGGAGATTCTGGCGCAAGAACAGCAGTTCTTGGAATATATGGACCATTCAAAGCTTCTATTAACGATACAGCTTCGTATCCAGCTGGTATATTTTCACAACTTCCCTGAAAAAGGATTTAACATTTCTTTTATCAGATAAAAAGGCAGTCTATTGTTTTCAATTAAATTTTACAACAAACTGTACCGAAATAGAGTAAGATATAAAGATGATAAACATATATCTAAACATATGTGCACATAACACTGACACGTATTTTGATAATTACTTGTATGAATAAATAAATATTGACCTCTGGTAATGGTGGATTTGATATAATTGCTCCAGTTGCTTTCTGTAGAGCTTTAATTTGAAGGAGAGCTCTGAAAGGGGCCCGACATATTGGACAATTGTTCGCTTGATATCGAAGAGAATCTGCACAGCTATTGCATAGGCATAGATGCCTACACGGTAATATTAAAGTATCTCGCACGTCACACATACAAATAACACATTCTGATCCATTATCATCTGTATCTTCATCACTACCTTGTTGCTGAAAAATAAATTGACGTGAAACGAATATAAAATAAGAAATTCTGGGTATATATCATTATTTTATACCTTTGCATTTTCGGCGTTTTTATTTTCAATTCCATATATTTCTTGAAGCAAGTAACAAAGGCCATCAACATAAAGCTTTTGTTTAAGAGCTTTTAATACGTATGTTCCATCCGAATGTTTTTCAACAACTGCTATAGTTGTATGAGATTGTTTTGGTTCGTCTGAGCCTTCTTCTGCTACACAATGGATTGCTATTGGAATTATCTATAAGTAATTATAATGATGAACAAAAAATAATTTCAAAGTTTTATAAATATAATATATAGATACTCCAAACGTACATACTTCCCTGTCAGCATTGTATAATAAATCTTCTTTGCTGTAGGCAGTTGGATCAAACATATGTGACGTTTGAGAGAATAACTGATTGGCACCTTTCTTATAATAATACGTCTCAGAATTCATAGATGGATCCCTTGGTATGTATCTACAAATAATACTTTTCATTATATATAACACTGCGCATAATATGTAAAATTTGTACGACATCTTTATTACATACGTAGCTCCTTTTGTTGTTATTTCTTCGGTGCAAAAATAATATATTGTGATTGCACATCTTACATCGCAATCAAATGTAAATTCAATATTATAGCGATTTGATTTCTTGTCTATATCACCATCTCCATAATGTTTAACACTATGACACTGAGGTGAAGTGGAAGTTTGATCAACATTACGAACCAATCTTAATGATTCTCTTCTTATATTTACTAAGCTTTTCAACGTTTTAGTAGGATCATTAGCTTGTGGTGGAGGATATGGAAACTAAGGTAAAATTAAGTGAAGTGTTAAAAATAATTTTTTGAGAACTGTATGTATACATTGTATAATACTGTAATAATATTATATCTTACAGGTGTTGGGCGACTTCCTAAAAAATTCAAATCAGCATTTTCTCCAAAAAGGTAGGCTTCTGGTTGAGGTGTATCAAACCGTTCACCACCCATTATGAAATGACTACCAAAATAACTTCCTAATAAATAAAATTTATTAAATAAAATACAAAACATTTTCTAATACATGATATGTATTTTAGTATGTAATTTATTAAAATAAGAATAATTTAATTCATATATTTTAATATCTTGCTTATGGCTATATGATTTAATATAAAAATATTCTCAAAATAATATAAACAAACCCGAACGAGGAGGATATTTGTATGCATGATTTGAAACAATATCAACTTCTTCTACACCAGCGTTTTGTCGACTTGTTAACGAACCCATTGCTTAATTATATTAAAAATAATTATAAACTGTTGTGCTATAAGGCAAACTTTATCTCGATAGAATTAAGCATATGATGTTTTAGAAATAAATACGTATTACAGGTAATTAAGATAAGTCACATCTGTAAGAATGTAAATAAGTTTCTAAAAACGATTATAAATTTGACAAATGATGTGTGCCGTTAACACACTCCTTTATACATAGATGTGTATGTAAAAGGTATGAAATGTATTATATATATCTTTCAGGTTTGCCAAATTTGTCAGTTTACTTATTTATCTGAATTTTATGTTTTAGGTAGTACGTTTATTAGAGGAAGTGTTAATACACATTTGTGCGAAAAAATTTATATTTTTTATTTACGAATGAAAACCAAGCTAAAACAATTTGAGAAAAAAGAAAAAGAAACACGACAGATCTATGTGTATGTTTCTCAGACTGTTAAGATCAACGCGCTATTTCAAACTTGTGATATGTATGTAGTGTAATCTGCAAACTTTATAGTTGACGTTTAATAACGAATAAGCATTCATGTTACGTCGGTATACAACATGGATTCTAATAGCCCTTTAATATTTGTAATAAACGTTTGATACAATTTATGTAATTAAAATCAAGAAAACATATTAGAATCAGCAAAGGATAAACGAATAATGGAATATAATACCACGGTTTTGTGCAATATTGGTAGTTTGGCATTAAATTTTGAGAAACATAGCCAAATTTTTTAATGAATGCAAGAAGTTAGAACAATAGCAAAACAAAGAAATATGAATTATATACGTATTATAACTATGCGATAGTATTTATGTAATACACGAATGTATAAAGTGTAAATAACTTTTTACCATCATGAAATTCAACGAAAAGGAACTTGCCGAAGCAAGTAATGGCCCCGCTGACATTGAAGGCCGTTTAAATCATAAACGAGCACATAAATCAGGTTAGTCTTTAGTTAAGAGTTGTTTACATTTATTTGAGAGAATATCATACTCATCAACTTACTAGCTTCAATTACCTATAACCTATAAATTCCCTTACAAATATTTATTTTTTTCATACCTATTTTCTGATATTCATATCATTTGGATTTTAGGATTCAAAGAAAAGTGGTTTAAATTAAGATGCAATTTATTGTTTTATTTTAACATCAACGAATTAGGACAGATTGACACTAGGCAACCAGCAGGTGTAATTATTTTGGAAAATTATAGTATTAACCTTGATGCTGCATCGGAAGGTGTATTCGCATTTAGCATAGCATTTAGAGACGAATATGAAAAGAGACATGTCCTAAGTGGTCGTTCAGAATCGCAAGTAGAACAATGGGTCAATGCACTTAAACAAGCAAGTTACGAATATTGGAGATTTCGTTTAATAGTGCTTCAAGAAGAGCTATGTAGAAAAACAGGAAAAGATCCATTGCTTATGTATCCACGAAATCAAGGAATTATCAGGGATGAAGCATGGGAACCTGCATCAACTTTCCGATCTCATGTACGCTCTTTTACTACGTCAGTTGTAACATCAACTGCGATAAATACAGTAACAAAAGAAATGAATTTGATTGAATTTTAAATTAGTTAATTCAATTATAGTTGTTTTACATTATTCTCTGAAATCTGAGGATTGTTTAAATATATAAAAGTTCAGTAGTGCAATTAAATTCATGACTAAAGAGCAAAAAGTCACTAGTGCAAGTGAATAGTAATTCTTTATTACCATATATTTTCATTAATATCAACAAAATTATATATTTAGTGCACATATATAATCTTCATTATTTATTAGTAAAAATACATCTTATACATGCTTATGTAAAATAACTTTCATAGTATTTTAAGTACCAAAATAATTTGACTATTATAATATACAAAAGTTTCACGAGAATATAACTTTTAAAGAATTTGTATTATAAATGAGTGATGAGCAATTATTTTATTATTGCTCAAACTCTGTATCTCGTGTATAGATTTTTCTAGTATTTATAAACCAAATACTCTTATAATGTGTGCCTATATTATAAACTTTTGATAACTATTAATATATATTTATAATATTAGAATACACATATTTTTTCAAGCATTGTATATAAACAATCTTCAAAGTATCTTTATTTAATTCTTTAATTCTATATTTTAATTTACATTTACAAAATATAAACTTATATTAATTTTATTTTAGTACAAAGTGCATAATATATTCTTATATTATGTATGCATGATTTAAAATGAATTTAATCTGGATAAAAATAATCTATATATTTTAATTCCATGTATATACAATATATATATATATATATATTATTTTATATTAACATTCTGTGACATCCTTTTTGACATTGTGTCCTAAAAAAATTAAATAAAGAGCTGAGTTTTAAATTTGTATTTAATTAATTATGCTTTCGTAATAAACAGCAAAATATTAATTATTGTATAACATATGTATATAATGTAAACGTATATATTATATATTTCTAATTGTGGTATGTGAAATTTATAAGTAAAATATTGCTCATAAACAAGTTACATTTTAATGTTTCTTAATATTTCAAAAATATGTTGGTACCACTGTTTCCAACTATTCACTACGTGTCAGTTCACATATCCACACGTTCACACGTCATCAAAGTACATAGTTTAGTCCTTGTAAACACACTATAGGTATACGTAATTAATGTTTAACCTAACATGATTTAAACTGACAGTAGTGAAGTTAATTTTATTGATATAATTTATTTGTAAACAACATTTAAGAGAAATCATCAGTTAAAGTAAACGTAAAACAGTACAATGAAACGATTCATTGTTTTTTCTATACTTATAATTTGTGGAATTTTCGACACTTTTGCCGAAACGTGCCAGAAGCCTGAAGTCGTTGCCTCTGCATATGTCACAGAAGATGCAACAATTCTGACAAATGTTGCATTCACAACACAATTTGTGCTTAAGTGTAGTAATGGTGTGAAAGGTATTACCTTATACGCAGAGGTTAATGGTAAATCATTACCAGCTGCCCGATTAAGTTCTGATAACAAATATCAGGTATTGAAATTAAAATCTATATAATCTATATAATGAAGTTGAATTTATATCAAATCAGAATCATGTGTAAATTATAAAAACTTAATTGCAATTGAAATAAATTTCAATTTTATAGGTTTCTTGGACAGAAGATGTGAAAAAAGCACATTCTGGAGATTACAATATAAAATTATATGATGACGAAAGATATGCAGCTATACGTAAAGCATTAAGAAACGGAGAAGATCCAAATAGTGTGAAACCTTTAGTTGTTGTAGTACTTAATAATCCAGGCATATATCGCGGCCCTTGGGTTAACTCAGAACTCCTTGCTGTCCTTTTAGCTGCCGTAGTGTCATATTCCGCTTTCTCTTCTAAATTCAAGCTTCTTGCTTAATCATCTTTTATAAATAATAAATTTGTTAAAGTTCTTATGTAAATTAAATATTACTTAAACAAATGGATTTTGTTCCTTTTTAAATATAACTTTGTAATTTAGCTTAACGACAATGCCACATTTATTGTGCAACATCATTTTAAAATTTATTAACATCCATGTATCTTTCTTTTCTTTAATATTAAGAAACCGATATTTTTACTGGGATGTAATTTTTATACCACCAATTTTTATATTTATAATTTATTTTCTAAAAGTTGAAACAGAGTCAACAAAGTACAGATAGATATAAAACTCAATACATATTAGAAGCAGGTGGATTCCCAAAAAAGAATTCCCAAGAGGGTGGATGTTTAATATCATTAGTATCATCATTTACTAAATTCAACCAGTCATTCAGTCCTTTAAAAAGCATTAATGCATCAGAAACATTGTCTCCTTCTGAACAATAACAAAACAGTACTGTACAAGGAATCTCCTTTTCTTTAAAATACTCATATAGACCGTTTGCAAATCCACCACCAGGAATGTAATATTGTCTTGTAGATTTTATTGTAATACTTTTCATATGCTTTGTCCAATGTAAGCTCTTAAGAAGTTTTTCATTATTCAATAAAGAATCATCCGAGGTAAGGTACCTTATTCTCGACTCTGACCTATTTGCACACTCATAATCATAACTGCTGGTTAGGATTATTATCTATAAGAATAGTTTTTATATTAACATAACAATCAAATGATTTGACATTTGTAATATTAGTATATATGCATTACACTGCTGTACCTTACTAATTTTCTTTTGTTGAATAAATTGTGCTAGTTCATTAAAGAAATCATTCGAACTGCCAACATAAGGTGAACGTAATTGTAAAAGAATTATATTATGGCATCCTCCAAGGTAAAAGTCAGCGGTAGTACAAAGAGAAGTAGAATTTTTATTATAAGGATCAAGTCCACATATTGGAAGAAACATAGAATTCCATAAACTTCCAATTTTGTGCATGTCCAAGCTAGATATTAATAAATCAATACATAATTGTCCAACGTTTCCAACAGCCACTGATGGAAGTATCAGAGTGTAATTCTCGAGGTTAATTTCATCCGGTATTTTTATCATTTTTACTAAATGTGGATACCTGTTTCATTAATAAAATTTATTAAATAAAGCTTATAACTCATAAAAATATACGACAAAATATTTATACAAACTCAAGATTCAATTTGAAAATTCAAAATTTGCACGTCATGGTAAAGTGATTGTTAAGTTATTATTACTTGTATCGTGTTGTTGTAAAATCCTCTCTTTATGATCATTTATGTTTATATATTTATTTATTGAATAAACATTTTCTATATTTATAATGCGATGTAATTTCAAATAATAACACACTTCACATTACATAAAAATAGTGAAACTATATAAACGTACATAAGAGTTCAAACTTCTATGAAATGATTATTTGACATTTCTGATGTACGTAGATATATACGGTTGGTAGCTCTGTCCTTATAATTTTTAGTTATATCAGGTTATATAGATAATTATTAGCAGAACTTGTAAGTATATACAGTATATTTATACATATAGTAGCGTGGAATATGCATATGTATTTAATATACACTGAACAATATATTATGAGATAATTCTTACAAAGAATTATTTTATAAATTGTGATAAATTTTCTTCTTATTTTCTTACAAACTTATTTATAAAACTTATATAATAAGGTGCAAATTTAAGGAATATTGAAATTTATAAATTAATTACTGAAATTTATAGAGGGCTGTGGTCAATAATGAAAGAACTATAAAAAAGTAAACTAATGATATAATATTTCATATTGAACAAATTTATATCAATTTTGTGTAAATACCGTATAATTTTTATATGACTAATTAAATTTATATGTATAAATATATATAATGCATATATGGTATATAAACATATATACACGTATATACCATGTTTTATTAAAATTGAATTAATTATAAAAAAAAGAGAAGAAAATCGTGGGAAGATAGAAATTTAGATTGATTCCCGTTTAATAATTTATTTCTTTGGATTTTGATTGGTGTAGAATAATCGGTATTAAAGCGAAACTTGTTACCGACTGTGCATAGCGGCATGTGACGTCACGCATCACCGCCCCGCGATGCCTTTCGGGAAATAGCGCCGCCATCTTGAGTGGCATGGCCCAGCTAGACAGTGCGCCCTGAGCCAAGACATGCGATTTATCGCGAAAACATTGAACGTCCCAAGGATCACGGATTTCTGTGAAACATAGCAAATCTTTGGTGCTTCGCACCTTCATCAGGATGGAGGCGGTTAAGGCATTTAACGCAGAGGTGAATTGACTTACCCTTAATTCTTCTTCTAGCCCGCCGACTCTCCCTCTTTTTTTCTCTTGTTCATCTTTTCCTTTTTCTTTTTCTTTTTTACTTTTCAAAGTTGAGATCGTGTCATTATTTTAAACTAAAGATTCAAATGATATTATTTCCCCCGACTTGTCTGTGCTGTTTGTTGTATGAAAATTGAAGTGACTTTCGTGCTTGAAGAATGCTTTGATTTCTAGACGTGCGAAAGAGAGAGGGGAGAGAGAGAGAGAGAGAGAGCGCGATTATCTTTATATGTAAGAAAGAGGGAGAGAAATCAGAGAGAACCTTTATTGTGATTTTAAGTATTTGTGATGCATAACATCGTCGTCTTTATTATGTAAAAATTTTGTAATTTATGTAATGATAAAGAAAGGGTAAATAATTATTGTATATGTGTGGTTTAGTTTTGTTAGTTATGTTTGTGATGGAAGGGAGAGAAATAAGGGAAAGCAATAAGGAATATTTTGTAAGTGATATTAGTTGAATTCATAGCAATTGTAATAAAACTTGTTTAATTTTTGCGATCAATTCATTAGAATTTATATAAACATATATTGTTGACTTTTGATTTGTTACATATAAAACTTGGAATTGCTTTTGAATAGTATATGTATATTAATCAACATCAACAGTTCTTTTCAAGTACTATTGAGAACTATTAAGATTTCTTAAATTAAAAAATTTAATCATATTCTCTGACTACTATGTTAAATGATTATGAATACATTGAAGTATTAAAAATAGAAAATAATAATTATATATGTTTTTTTTCCAGCTCTCAGCTCTGTATGATGTTAAACCACCAATTTCCAAAGCTAAGATGAATTCTTTAACTAGAGGTGCAATTAAGGCAATTAAATTCTATAAACATGTTGTGCAAAGTGTCGAGAAATTCATCCAAAAAGTGAGTTATAAAGAATAAGAAAGCTTTTGAGAGCAAAGTATAAAATACATGGTAATTATATTGTTTGTTTTATTTGTATTAATTGCCAATTAATGTTACAGTGTAAGCCAGAGTACAAAGTGCCTGGATTGTACGTTATAGATTCAATTGTACGTCAGTCCAGACACCAATTTGGGGTTGAGAAAGATGTCTTTGCTCCACGCTTTGCCAAGAACATGCAAACTACTTTCTTAAATCTTTTGAAGTGCCCCCAGGAAGATAAAAGCAAAGTAATAAGAGTTTTAAATCTTTGGCAGAAGAATGCAGTGTTCCCTTCGGAGGTTATACAGCCCTTATTTGATCTTGCGGATCCAAATCATCCAATACATAAGGAGCAAGCAGTTAATACCAATGGTAAAAGGAAGTTGTGAGTTAATATATCAAATTTAAATAAAATTAAATAGTGAATATTCGTTATTATGTTTAGGTACACTGAATGCGTCTGCAACAAATAATGTTAGTAATACTACAACTTCTGTAAAGACTCCCCCTTTGACTGCAAAAAATGCGGTAAAGGATCAAAAATTATTTTCTTCCGCAAAGCCAATCGATCCTGCCTGGCTTGCACAAACAAAAATAGAAACAGCAAATATAGTTAATGCTAATAAACTTTTAGTAAGTCTTGTTTTTATATTTATTCTATATATTATTTGTACACTTACAGTTTGTCGCATATCTTTTGTATGTAAAATGAACAGAATTTCAATTTTGGCTTCTTTTTTCAGGGGCAATCAAATTCAACTCAAATGGATGTTTCTTTCCTTGATCAGTTACAACATTTACAGCAGTTATTATTAAAAAAGCAGGAGTCCACAAATGAACAGAAAAGTTCTGTAAAATTTGATAAAAAGCTCTTAGATTTTGATTATGGCGAGGAAGAGGATGATGATGTTGTTGTTGCTAGTTCACCAGCAGCGACCGCAGGATCTAATACTGGTCAACACAATACAGTTTCAACAGGAAATAGTTTGGAGAGTCTTGGACTTCTTTTAACAAATCCAGAGGTACTAACTTATCATTATTACATCAATATAATAGTCAAGGAGAAAATATAATTTAATTAATAAATTGCTTAATTCTTTAATTGATAATAGGTTTTGAGACAACTTCAAACATTACAACAAACAATGCAGGGAAGTACTTCTTCATCACAGCATGAAACAGAAGAAAAGATGCGGAAACTTCAGCAAATGAAGCAGCAGGAGGAAGAATTTGATAAACATCTGGCTCAAACTGTTCCTGTATGTTATTAACAGTATTAATAGTTTTCCTATTCACATAAAAGTAAAAGAGACATCCTAATAGTTTCATGTATGTTAATGAAAATCGATCTTTGTTTTAGAATTTACCATTTGCATCTGAATGTGAATTAAAACCATCAGACATTTTGAAGCCAAGTCAACAAAATACTTATACAACAAATGTAAGTAGTGGAGTCATACAAGATATGAGTCAACCACCTCCTGGTTATCCACCGGCTCTGCCGTATGCCTCTCAACCCTTATCAAATATTAGGCAGATAAATCAGCAAGCGCATCAAAATCAAAAAAGTCCACTTCTTGACGAACGGCAGGACGCGCAAGATTATTCTGGGTAAACATTCTTCCCTTTTATAAAATAGGGTAAAAGACATATTTTCCTTTTCATTTTCATGAAATTTAGTTTTTCATTTAATTTAAATTTACTTTGATCTATATTGCAATTTAACTTGTAACATTACTGAATATTGAAACTGATTATTAATGAATGACTGTCTATAGAAATGGTGCAAGGCGAGATAGTAGCAGTGTAGAAATTGTAAATTGTGAAAATACAAGATCGCAGAGTAGATCGCCTGATCGATACAGACATCACAGTCGATCTAGATCACCACGACACAGAGATAGGGATAGAGATAGAGATAGGGATAGGGACAGGGATCGAGATCGAGACAGAGATAGAAAATCTCGATCAAGAAGCAGATCTAGGAGGAGAAGGTAATTTTACATGTCTTCTTTTGCTTATATTATATTATAGGCAATATACCTAAATATATATTTATACATTATTTTATACACTTTGTTATGATCATGTGATATTAAGGATATTATTATATTGTAGGTCTCGTTCAAGAGATAGAGGTCGTGACAGAAAACGGGAGGACAGTCGAGAAAAAATGACTGAGGAAGAACGAGAAAAAGAAAGAGAAAGGCGTAAACGAGGATTACCACCAATTGTGAGAGATAAATTAAGCGGTAATTTCACCTATTTTCATATGCATATGCATTTGGTTTTACATCGAAGGAATCGTTCTTCTTTTTTTTTTTTTTTATATGAATTTAATATATTTATTTGCAGTTTGTAGTACAACTCTTTGGGTGGGACATCTATCGAAATTAGTACACCAAGAAGAACTTTCAGATACTTTTGGAGAATTTGGTGATATTGTCAGTATAGATTTAATTTCACCCAGAGGTTGCGCCTTTATATGCATGAATAGAAGGCAAGATGCATATAGGGCTCTTACTAAGCTTAAAAATCATAAAATGCAAGGAAAGGCAATCACTGTAAGTTAACATTTTTGGTCACCTTTAAAAATAATAATTTATTATCATTTTTATTGAATATATTTATAAATGTATTATCAAATAACAATAAAACTCTATGTATTTTCAGAATAATAGAATTTTTATTGTATTTTAGTTAGCTTGGGCTCCAGGAAAAGGGGTGAAAGGAAAAGAATGGAAAGATTATTGGGAAGTTGAATTAGGAGTTAGTTATATTCCTTGGAATAAATTAGTTAATGTTACTGATCAAGATTTAGAATTATTAGAAGAAGGAGGTATGATTGACGAAGACACTCTACCACCCAATCTAAAAGGTAAAGGAACAATTATGTTTTAAGAAATATTTGAGACAATTCATGCTAATCATTATAAATCATTAACAGGTAAATTAAAGCATTCCGGAACAAATGCAGATGTACTTCAACAACAGTTGCAATTACAACAGCAAGCATTAGTTGCAGCTGCTGGAATTCCAAATTTGGCGGATGGTATTGTAAATGTAATGCAACCTTCAACTAGTGCTCAACAGCAACAATCCCAGCAACAAACTTCACAACAAGGTCAACAGCAGCAACAAGTAATCGATACAAGTCAACCTCCACCAATTAGACCCCCTACATCAGCCGCTCTTTTACCGCCACCAAATACACAATTACAGATGATGCCACCTGCTTTTACAATGCCGGGAGTTCCTCGTAAGTACTTATTGAAGGAAAATTTTAACGAAAATTGAAGACTCAATCAAAAATAGGTATTAGTTATTTTTATTCTTTCTTTAAAGTTTATCGTTTTATACCTTTTTTTTTTTATATTGTTTAGGTATGATTGGACCAATGGGATTACCAATGGCACATAGTTTAATGCCGAATGTTCCCATAGGTGTGCCACCTCCAAATATGCAAAGTTTATTAGGGCCACCGGGAATGATGCAAACTATGTTAACACCACCTGTAAATTCTCCATTTGGAGCAGGTGTTGGCGTCGGCTTATTAACTCAAATTCCTTTACCAGCTCCAGCTGCTCCATCTGATAAACCTAATTCTACTGGTATGTGTATATGATCAATACATAAAGTGAGCTAAACCATGAATAAAAGAAAGCGATAAAAGCTCAAATTTCATCTCTTTCTAGGTATGCCACATAATGTTCCTCCAATAGGAGTTCCTCCTCCAACAACAGAAACAGGTATGCCAAATTTACCAATGTTACGCCAACCATATGGTGTAGGCCCTTCTGCACCTTTGCAAATGCAACTACCTCAACAACAACATTCTGCTGATGACATGGATGTAGAGATGGAAGATGCAATGCCACAAAGTTCAAATGGAGCAAAAAATAAAAGTAATTTAACTGAACAACAACTTTCACAAAATGAAGAACGAGCAGAATCTGATCAACAAGTAGAGGTAAATAAAATTCATTTATTGCAGCAACTAATGTCCTAACTATGCGATTTAGAATGTCCTGCATAAAATTCTAATTTGATGTGAATTTAATAACAGCATCGAGATTATAAAGAAAGAGAGAGAGATCGGGAAAATAGGGAAAGAAGAGACAGAGAGACGCATTTATCACACAGAGATAGGGAAGGTACTGACTCTAGAATGGATCGCGGAAGAGACCGAGGTAGAGGGAGAGATAGGGGACGCGATCGTAGAAGAGATCTTAGAGATAGAGACAGGGATGACAGAAGAGAAAGGGAAAACCGGGAAAATCG